TACGAGTCACTACTTGAAACCTTTAGTTTCTGCCTGTGATCTGTGATCAGTTCTGTGTTTAGTTTTACCTCAGAACTTCATGTTTCACTGCATCTGACACTTCGCTGCTTCACGTGAGAGTTTGAACGCTGGTTTACACTTCAGTGAGATTTATTTCTGTCATGTGATGACTATGGCATTTACTGTAACTGCTTAGGTAAAACCCATTCAAAACCTAATGTGATGAAATCACTACAACCGCAACTAAGTATTCAGATCAATACTAAAATATGGTCAATACTATGAATCTGTTGAAGGGTGACATGAAAGATGTTGTGTTTTAAAATCTGCATCTTCATCATCAAAATCTACTGGAGAAATGTATGTAGAAATCCATCATATCTAACAAGATGATCTCATGGTTTGTGTTTAAAAACCTAACCTGCAAAGTAAATCCCAGAGAATGGAGATACTCAAGTATAATAGTATCTTTCAAATGCATCTCATTGTCTTCATCAGCAATGACATGTTGGTGATTGTTATCCATGCTTTTCAATACTGTTAGATGTAGTGGAACAAAAGAAGCTAGTAAATGGACCTTGAGTTAAGAGTTTCTGTCAAACTACCGTTTAAAAAAAGTTTTCTCTTTAAACTACAACTACACTATATATAAAGACAGCACCAACAAAAACACACAAAATGGATATTGAGACACAACAAATCAACACACATCATTCGGGAAAGCTGGAAATTTTAGATGTAAGAACACAACAAACAGAAGTTTTATTACTTCATCATAAATTCCCAGAGTTTATGGTAATTAAATGGTTGGACCCGAGCTCTCTCAGAGTCACGTTGTCCTGTTCACTGTGTGAATCCGACAGGGATTTCCATCGCTTTATTTAATTCCATTGCTCACATTTAATTTCAGTTCATGACTTTTTTTTCTAATATAATAACATGAGAGCAGCCCCTGTCAGTTTAATGTTGTTGTTGTTGGTGTAGGTTTTCTTGCCAAACTTGCCATGAGGTGATTAGTTAGTTTTGGAAACCCCTCTAGGAACATGGGATACTCTTGGACTTTATCACTCAAAGATAGAGCAGATAAAATATCAAATGTCTTTCTTGTCATCACTGGAGATGGTTGTGACAAAGAGATGGTTGTGACACAGATCACTTCAAACATTCAGGGACCAGAATGTAAAAAATAGTGAGAAAAAGAGACTCATGATGACACATCATACGTTTCCTGTCACATAGGCTTTTACACGATCACAGGATATTCTGGTGCTCTGGTGGACTCATATGTTAACCTTCAATCTTTTGTTTTCTGTTCGAGAAGGTCAGAGTTCACCCACACTGCTGTAATGACTTGACAGAGAAAGAGAGCTTGGTTTGATATGGCTCATTTAAGCGTGAAGATATCACATCTAATGCATTTTCACTTTGTCTCATCATGTCAGAACTAAACTAAAGGTAGACAGATTCTCAAACTTTTTGCTCGACCTTGGAAAACAAAAGATATAGAAATCTTCCATTCACAAAACATCTTAAATTCAAATACCACATGAGGATGAAACTATAATCACAACCTGGGGGTTGATTGCCATCCAAATTTAGATTTCAGCATCATTTCAACAATTGAATTCCGATTCTTATTTCATATGTTATTCCTTTAATTAACTAAATTAAATTTACAAACTTTGGTTTCTAAAAACAACACAATGACCAACAGTGGGAGCCCTTTCTTAACTAACATCACCCAAACTTAACTAACAGCAGCCAGTCTGGAACCACAGCCACTGCACATCTGTAACAGATGTTCAACCCTAGTTTTTTATTCTCTCAGAGGCCTGCTGGTGGTTTTGTGAACTTCAATCATGAAACTCTCTCACAGTTTTCCTAGATTACACACATTATTGCAACATGGTTCAATACTTTATTTGCATATGTTTACTCATGTATTATTCTGTATTTATAATTTATCTGATTAATGTGAACACACAACACATTTTAACCAACCTGTGCAATACAAACAAAAGGTTTTCTATCCTCATTCCATTCCATGAATGTGATTTGTCCCTGGTGAAAGATCATCATAAAACTCCTCTGCTTTATAATGAGATTACAATTAATTCTTTTGGTTGGACATTTACAAATCCTCCTTGTCAAGCATTGCAAGTGCAGCTTTTCCGTTTTACTTTGAAAGCACGACCGGAAGCAGAGTCCGTACTCTTTCCGGTTGGATCCTCGTGACATTGACAGAGGGTAGAAGTACAGGAAGTGAGTTGTGTTTTAATGGCGGGTCACTTTCTCCTGTTTTAATGAACACATGTCCGTTCAGTGCCGAGTGAGTCACTCAGCTGTGTGACCAGCAACATTAGCTTAGCATCTCCGGAGTGTAGCAGGTATGTGAAGCTTTTATTTTCAGCCACAGTTCAAACCGAGCAGGGTTCACATCAGGTGAAGCACGAGCTGCTGCAGTGACACACATTAGCACGTGTTGTTAGCTAAAACCACAAAACTACTAAACCATGCGTTAATGTTGGTAGCAGCTAGCGCGTGTGTGTGTGTGTGTGTGTGTG